ACAGCAATATGCACTACCTGAATAGCAAGACTGGTTCATTTGCATATTCGGGTAGATTTGCATATTGCTAATGCTGCAGACACGTGAGATATTTTCTTTTAAATATTGTCTCCCCCACCCCTTTAAAAATGTGCCATTGTGTTGTGATAAGTCACTGTGTGTTGCCTGCTATGGTTTGACTGTTTGTGATTTTATTGAGTTTTCACAGCAATGTTAATGTTGTGACCCTATGGGCTGGTCCCAAGGGAAATAAAGGTTTAGACAGTTCTTCTTGATCCCTCTAAATGTAGTCTTGTCTCGTTATTGGAGGGAGCTATTATAATCACACTGGGGATTGCTATGCTCTGCATGCTCCCCTGAGCTTGAATCACTTAGCTCTTTTAAGAGCTTGTTCCTGACATGCTCTCCTTGGAGGAGAGGTCTTCACCACACAGTCCTGGATGCTGGAGGTTCATACAGGGTGGAAGGAAGAGTTCTTTCCCACACAGTCCTGGAGGACAGAAGCTGATCCAGGGTGGAAGGAAGACGGCGAGACTCCAGTTAAGCTACGGCCGTTGTGGAGTCTGCGGTGGTTGTGGTGTCTGCTGCAGTGTTTGGAGTACTCAGGAAGCGCTAGGAGCATCCATCAACGGAGGGTACTCGGTCGGAGTACAGGGAGCTCCGTTACATTGGTGGCAGCGGTGGGATGGCGTCCTAATGCGAGGAGAAGCAGCTCGGAGACACTGGTATCGTATGAGAGGTTATTGAGGGCAACGCTAGCCACTGCACAGCGGCCCTAACTACAGCAGCATGGAGCAGGCATGGATAGAGCCCTGCGAAGAGTACCTCAACAGGATACGTCGCTACGAGGGCGACGCTTACTTTGAGGAGGTAAAGAGGCGGTTGGTCTGCTATGGCCCAGACCTTTCGAATGAGGTGGTCCACCAAGTAATGCGCCAGTTGAGTGTTGAGAACAGTGCGGCAATGGCCTTTGAGCAAAAACTGTGGAGGTTGAGGATATGGACACGTAGTCTCCAGCGGCAGTGCAAGTTACAGGGAGCCGAAGGTGTCGTCCTTCCTCCCCAGCGGCAGTGCAAGTTACAGGGAGCCGAAGGTGTCGTCCTTCCTCCCCAGCGGCAGTGCAAGTTACAGGGAGCCGAAGGTGTTGTCCTTCCTCCCCAGCGGCAGTGCGAATTCCAGGGGGCCGAAGGTGTCGTCCTTCCCCCCCAGCAGCAGTGTGTCCTACAGGGAGCAGAGACAGTTGGTCTCTCTCCCCAGCGGCAGTGCAAGTTACAGGGAGCCGAAGGTGTCGTCTGTAAAAAATGTAGATGAATGGATGTTCATGTGGAATCTTCTTAATTTCTTCTTGTCTTCAGCTGATTGATATATATACGTCTTTTGTATATATATTCTTGGGCCAAATGCTCGCCACAATAATATATGTCTATATTATTGAAAAGTAGTAATACGTAATCTGACTTACGGTTTCTTCAGGTTTATTCTTTGTTACGGATACATAATAAAACATAATACATGATGTTACAGGATAATGGACATTCAACAGCAGATGGTAATTGCTGGACTTCTGATGGGAGAGTTACATAGTTGTACAGAGCCGAGAGCCAAGACAGGACTAAGACTGAGAGACCTCGTGTCCCTCTGTTACTATATAGATGTGCTAATACTAACGTCAGCATTTAACTCTAGCCATATAAGGAAAAGACCCCCGAATCCACATTCCAGAGCTCTCGGACAAAGAAAGCCTTGTGACTTATTGATACCATCTGTTACTTATGTCAATCTACACATCCATATATATAATCAATAGAAACATAGAATATGCAATATTCTACATTCCCTCTGTTTATGGTTTGTTTTAAAACCATAACACAATGTCACTAACCTGTCCATTCATACATCACTTGTATCACATTCATTGAGCATAGAACAAGATGTAGTCACAACTTTCTATTATATGAGAGTTCTTAGAAGGTCGAGTTTCTATTCCTCATACTGCTTACTTTACTTCAAAACTCCCTCTGTTTCAGCTATGTATTGGTATCCATATCCATGTTACATCATAACTACTTGAACATAATATAAATATATATATAACAATAATAAATGAATAAAATAAAATATTTACAAATGTTGATCCAATAAACAATAAAGCAATCAGAAATATCTACCTGCTCAGGTACAGTCATGTCTTTGTAGACAACAAAATCAAGATGATAACTTTCACTATCATATTCCTACAGATACATATATAGTATAGTATTTTCATTCTCAATACCTGATATTACTAAAATACTAATACATGTATTACTATAATATCCTGTCCAATTAGATTTCCATGAATCATATGGTTTCTAGCAACCTTAAAATCTTTAGGTCATTTGTATTCATGAATTACATTCCTATACCATTAATACCATCTAGTGATGATTGTATCAGTACTTTACAATCATAGTATTTAATTTGTATATTCAGTAGGCTCTCACTACCTGAAATATACCAACACTACTTATAAGTCTCATTCAAATGATGTGTTATACATGAAGTTCTATAATAATTCTTCAAATAATTTTCATGGTGTTGACAATACTTATTGTCCTAGAAATTCTTCACCCAGAAATCTTTCTATCATAGATTTGTTTTTGTTTACATAATTATAATTTTCACTAAAATTCCACCTTGTAGTAACAAACTTTTCATTCAATCGGAGAATGGTTTACTTTAAAATAACTTGGAAAGAATACTTTAAATTCATTAGCATCACTCTCTTCATTAGACCTTAATTGTGATGACTTATTAATGTAATACATCTTAAACTCAGGATTGTCCTAATGTTCTGACCAATCCGTATTCCTTTGTACACTTCAACTGACTAAAATAAAATAAACAAAACTTGGGGTCATACTGCCCAGAAACTCTTATTCCTAGTCTGTGTCTTACAAACTCAGGGAAATCTTAACAACGTATTCAATTCATTGGATACCGTCATATCCAGAAACCTATTCTCCCTAGTCCATACCTTTATAGACTTAGGTCAAATATAATTGTGTACTATACTCTTTCCATTCAATTCGGTTCCTCTTGGATCTCTGAACTCTTATATCCAAGGCCTTCTTAATGTATACTATTACTTAATATTAATCAATATAAATTATCCTTCCTTAGTTTTCTTCCTTTTATTACCATTGTTTGTTTTACTTCAACTATATAAACAAATTACTCATTATAGTTAATCTATGAAATACTATTGAACTCAATCTTTGTGGTATTAAGTAACCATGATCCTTATTTTATCGACTTCATATTTTATCTTCCTCTGATACTTCTCATTCTATGTATAGGTAATAATGTAATAGTTCTCTTCATAATACCATCCATTAATAATTTTACTCCATGTGTTATATAGTTATAAGTAGTCTCTCTTGGTATTAATACTCATAACTGTTAAATAACTTTTCATTGTCTGTTTTCTTCATTAATATTTAGGAATATATATGTATGTTAGTGTCAATCTTTTATTTCTTTGTAAGTCTGTTAATCTTCTGTATTGAATGAACTCTGTAGAATCTTCCATCACAGTTTGCAGATCAGATGAAAAGTCTCTTTCCAACAGTCGATGTCCAGTTGTCTGAAGGAATGCTTTCCTGATTTATTGCCACATGGATCTGTCACGCTTTACCTACATTAAAACAAATAACATGTGCAGCATCAATACAATGGCTTACAATGTTTATATCTCATTATTATTATACAGTTTAACATTGAATTATATTGACTACACAAAACATACTAATTTCTTCTCATGAGATCTACCATCTAGTGGTCATTACATTTATGCCATGTGATGTATAATCTTTCTGAACATTTTAATTTTCCAAACTTTTTATTACTCATACCTTATTAATCATACCCCCCTTTTAAACTGTTTAATAATCTGGAGGTATAACCTAATCACATATCAGATGTTACAACAAAATATTGTTTTCCACTATACTTTAGCAATAGCAGCCATTTTGTCTTAACACTGGCACCATTTTGTCACATGAAACAAACTACAAAAACATATATTGTTTCCTTCATCAAATGTATTTGTAAATCTAGGTTTTATTCTATCAAAACTTGTGTCTTCTATGTAGTCAAAATATATGTATGTCCAGGCTTTGCAAAATATAGTAATCCATTATCAGTCATGACATTAAAATCTCATTCTCATGAATTAAATCAAAGATTTTAAATCAACCTCAGAAGTAACAACATTGTTTTTTCCTTCTGTAAAATGATTGGAGTTACTGTATAATCGCATACACCCAATATAACATTGCATGTTCCTAACTGCTACATTAGTGTATTTCATTCTGTCATATTTGCAAACTTGATGTAAATTTTTATTTCCATTAATTAACCTAATACTTTCTTATAACACACATAAAACAATAAAAAAACAGTTCAGACTAACAATTCATTAAAACAACAAACTAACATAGATCTCTATTCTTGTGCTGTTTTTAATTCTGGAATCAGCCTGTGTACATCTGTTGGAACACATATCCATGCTCATTCCCTAAACTAATCATATCTCTTGAAGTTATCTGATTCTTATAACTTTCTGTGTTACACTGCATTGCTTGTCTGTCTCCTAATTTCGATTTAGCTAAAATTGCTTTTATTTGTCTGATTATCAGTTTACAAGGAAAGGCTTTAATTGATTTATCTCCATTTTCTCTGTCAAAATTTTCAATCAACAAATTTAATTTCTCATTTGCTTTTGATTTGATATCTCGGATAAAATATCTGCAAGATCTTAAATAATGTTGTTTATTGCACCAAAAACAAATAACTTTAGGAGTTATATTCTGTCTTTGATTAACTCTACACTCTGTCCTAGAAGAAGAAGAAGAAGGAGGGGGACGAGGGCTGTAAAATCTGCACTTCTTTGTCTGCCTAAATCCACAAGTCGTTTTAACCCCTTCATTATTGGTTTCTCTCCTTAAGTTATCCAAGAACAAAGCTACCTCTGTCAAAGTGCTTTTTTCTCTAGCTAACACAATTGCAGTTGGATCTAGATCTTGAAATTTTTTCACAAATTCATTAATTAACTGATCTTCAGAAAAATCAGCAACAAGTCTATATGCACTTTCAAATTTTGCAAGAAAACTAAATATATCCTCCCCCTTGTGTGGTTTTAGTTTTTCCAACATTTCAGTGTCTGCAAAATCATTCCCTGTTGTTAATTTTATTAATTGTGTTAATCTGTCTTGCTTATTTCCATATATTATTTCATCATTGTCCTCGAATTTTACAGGCGCGGTCAGCCTACATGCCATTTGAGTCGGCAGCCATATTTGAAATAGTCTATTCCTTTGTTCGTCATTTAGGCTGTATTTGTCTAAATTAGACTCAAACATTTCAGCATTAGTGAATGCATCCACTGACGTGTCATAAACTGGAATACATTTCACAATTTTCATTAATTGTTCATGGATCTTCAAATTAAGTTTTGCAGTTCTGTCTTGAAATTTGCATTTCTGCAAATCACTCTGTGAGGATACATTTTCAGTATCTATTGGTTCTGGGATTAGATTCTGTGCCTGTATTTTTCTTGTATTAACACACACTAGTTTAACTTCATTTCCAAGCTGGCAAATAAGATCATTTCTTAATTCAACTCTATCCTCTAATTCACAGACTTTTTCTGACAATGTTCTCTCTGTTACATTGTTACACTGTTCATTTAAATCTTATTTGTCTTCTGTTAACCCATTCAAATCTACTTCTTTATCTGCTGATTCTAAATTGTCTTGACCTGCATCTCGTTTACAAATCAATGCATTGTAAGTACAGACTAGTTTCATAACATTTCTGATCTTTTGTTTTTTCTTATTAACAAACAATTTCTTGCAATTTCACTATTGGCAATTTCACATTGTGTGTATAAAGATTGCCACAATACAGCATCTGAATAGCTGCTATTAAATGCAAACTGCAATTTACTTTTCTCTGCAATATCATTTATGAATTCCATGTTACTCACCAGATCAGTTATCTCTGTCTATTTCGTTGCTTCATCCACACAGCTGCGCAGTTCTGGACGCTTGATTCTGGACGCGTGCCAATCTCTGCCACGTGCTTGCTTCTAGAATTCACGTTGTATCTTGTGCTTTTTGTCTCAGTTGTAGGAAATAGTCTTGTACAGTCTTTGTGATTTGAAAACTTTCTTTTTCTTACAAATACAGTTCTTCTATAACAGTCAGTCTAGATTCTTTTTTTCTCTTCAAGTTTGTTTTCCCAGTTCCAAAATAGCTTTGTAACTCGATTCTTCTCTCTCCCCCCTTGAAGTGGGAACAAAACTTGAATAGAAGACTGGCTGGCTAGCCAATGTAAAAAATGTAGATGAATGGATGTTCATGTGGAATCTTCTTAATTTCTTCTTGTCTTCAGCTGATTGATATATATACGTCTTTTGTATATATATTCTTGGGCCAAATGCTCGCCACAATAATATATGTCTATATTATTGAAAAGTAGTAATACGTAATCTGACTTACGGTTTCTTCAGGTTTATTCTTTGTTACGGATACATAATAAAACATAATACATGATGTTACAGGATAATGGACATTCAACAGCAGATGGTAATTGCTGGACTTCTGATGGGAGAGTTACATCGTTGTACAGAGCCGAGAGCCAAGACAGGACTAAGACTGAGAGACCTCGTGTCCCTCTGTTACTATATAGATGTGCTAATACTAACGTCAGCATTTAACTCTAGCCATATAAGGAAAAGACCCCCGAATCCACATTCCAGAGCTCTCGGACAAAGAAAGCCTTGTGACTTATTGATACCATCTGTTACTTATGTCAATCCACACATCCATATATATAATCAATAGAAACATAGAATATGCAATATTCTACATCGTCCTTCCTCCCCAGCGGCAGTGCGAATTCCAGGGGGCCGAAGGTGTCGTCCTTCCCCCCCAGCAGCAGTGTGTCCTACAGGGAGCAGAGACAGTTGGTCTCTCTCTCCAGCAGCAGGACAATGTTATGGGAGTGGAGACAGGCGGTCTCCCTCTCCAGCGGCAGCTTGTGTTTCAGGGAGAGGAGCACAGCACCCTATCTCCCCAGCGGCAGCTTACCCTACCAAGGGGAGACACCAATCTCCCAGATGGTGCAGAGGGGACCGTGGTCTCTGTGCCCGACCTACAGGGATGCTGGACAGCCTGTCCAGATCCCCAACTACCTTCACAGGGACAACAGGAGGAGGGGGTAAGTACGAATTCCCCTCCCCAGCTAACTCCTAACTTGGCCCCAGGGTTAACAGAGGAGATGTTAACCCCCACTGACCCCCACGTTCCCCTGGCTACTGAGCCGGACTATGTCCCAAGCCCCCCAGCGGAAGAGCTGGCAGCTGGGCAGAGTGCAGTCGGCCTGTGCCCTCCCTTTGTCCCTTGTCCAGAGCCTGATGTCCTGCAGGCTATACCAGCAGAAGAGCTGGCATCAGGGCAGACCGCCGCTGGCCTCTGCCCTACCGATCCCCTTGTCACAGGACTGGCCTGCAACCCCCTCCTCCCAGCAGAAGCGCTGGCATCAGGGCAGAGCCCCTCAAGTCCCCACAGCGTGTTGCCCCATCATCCCAGAGGAATACCCAGGTGCAGTCACTGTTTGCTGTGGGTGGGCTGCTCTAATAACTGTTGGTTGTGGGTGGGCTACTCTGGCAGTTGCTTATGGTCGGTGGGTGACTCGACTAACTTAGGCACTGACCGACAGAAAGTCAGGTGCCTTGTTAGTCTTCCCCCCGAAGGGGAGATATGTGACGAAGTGCCCTTCGCCACTTGGTCCTGCAGAGGCCTAATTGCCAGCCTCCTCCCCTGTGACTATGACTCTTTCATGTATCTGGCTTTAAGACAGACTGTTTATGTAGGCTGCTTTATTTCTCTTATGTTTTAGTCACCCTGTACCCATTATAGGTGCAGGGTGTGTGTAATGTAATTGTTTATAGTGTGTGTGTGTGTGTACTGTGTAATGTATTGCCTGCTCTCTTGTACTGCTGAGGTTTGCTACCAACTAGGTGGGTTTGGCTATGGAGCTTGTCTAGTGGCCTCTGTTGGTAGCAACAGCAATATGCACTACCTGAATAGCAAGACTGGTTCATTTGCATATTCGGGTAGATTTGCATATTGCTAATGCTGCAGACACGTGAGATATTTTTTTTTTTTAAGGTTTAGACAGTTCTTCTTGATCCCTCTAAACGTAGCCTTGTCTCGTTATTGGAGGGAGCTATTATAATCACACTAGGGATTGCTATGCTCTGCATGCTCCCCTGAGTTTGAATCACTTAGCTCTTTTAAGAGCTTGTTCCTGACACGCTCTCCTTGGAGGAGAGGTCTTCACCACACAGTCCTGGATGCTGGAGGTTCATACAGGGTGGAAGGAAGAGTTCTTTCCCACACAGTCCTGGAGGACAGAAGCTGATCCAGGGTGGAAGGAAGACGGCGAGACTCCAGTCAAGATACAGCGGTTGCCGAGTCTGCGGTAGTTGTGGTGTCTGCTGCACTGCTTGGAGTCCTCAGGAGGGTACTCAGTCGGAGTACAAGGAGCTCCGTTACACGTGTGTATGTATGTGTATATATATATATATATGCACACACACGTGTGTTCTAAACATTAGATATTTCATGACCACTTAAGCGTGATCATCAAACTATTAAGAGATTTGTGGCTGATTCAGAGCACAGACGGGTTTCGTGCAGATAAAGGCACATTGAGGAAGATTTCTGCCAGATCCATGCATCGGATCAAGAGAGCAGCTGCTAAAATACCATTACATAGCAGCAAACAGATATTTGAAGCTGTTTGTGCCTCTGGAGTCCCACGGACATCAAGGTGTAGAGTCCTCCAGAGTCTTGCAACTGTACATAAACCTTCTATTCGGCCACCACTAACCAAAGCTCACAAGCAGAAATGGCAGCATTGGGCAAAAAAATACATGAAGACTAATTTTCCAACAGTCCTGTTCACTGATGAGTGCTGTGCAACCCTGGATGGTCCAGATGGATGGAGTAGTGGATGGTTGGTGGACGGCCACCCTGTTCCAACAAGGCTGCGACATCAGCAAGGCGGTGGTGGAGTCATGTATTGGGCCAGAATCATAGGAAGAGAGCTGGTCGGCCCCTTTAGGGTCCCCGAAGGTGTAAAGATGACCTCTGCAAAGTATGTGGAGTTTCTGACTGACCACTTTCTTCCCTGGTACAGAAGGAAGAACTATGCTTTCCGTAATAAAATCATCTTCATGCATGACAATGCACCATCTCATGCTGCAAAGAATACCTCTGCATCAATGGCTGCTATGGGTTTAAAAGGAGAGAAAGTCATGGTGTGGCCTCCATCCTCCCCTGACCGCAATCTTATTGAGAACCTTTGGAGCATCCTCAAGCAAAAGATCTATGAGGGTGGGAGGCTTTTCTGTCATCTTGCAAACAAATTCTAGCAGAAACTGTCCAAAAACTCTCAAGTTCAATGGATGCAAGACTTGTGAAGCTGCTATCAATTAAGGGGTCCTATGTTAAAATGTAACGTGACCTGTTAAAATATTAAAAAAGTTAAAATGTTATTATAAGTTTGATTGAAATAGCTTTTGATTTCAGTAAGTATGCTGCAAACACAACAAATGACAATTTTCAGTTCTCTACAACCTATAAAGTGTTTTGATACTTACTGTGCGTAATAATTTGGAACAGTGCATTAAAAAAAATACTGTTATCATTAGGAGGTTTGTTCAATAAAATTTGAATTGTACTCTTAATAGTTGATAACATGAGAATTATGCTGACTGTTATTTACATTAATTATTTAGGTAAATGAGAAAAATATCATTTGCATAATAATTTGGAACAGGTTGTATATATATATATATATATATATATATACACACACACATATAATATGTGTGTGTGTGTGTGTGTATACACACATACACACTTTTATTTCCTATATATGATTTCATTATAAATGTATTTTAACATATATGTGTATATATCTCAAAGTACACTTAGAATGAAAACATATATATGTATAATATATTATAAAATGTTTTATTTTATAATATATTATACATATGTATATTATATATACTTTTTTTTAGGCTTTTTAGCAGCCTATATATGTCAAAATACACTTAGAATCAAACTACATATATATGTAATTTTTTTTAAAATTGTTTTTAGTTTTTTTTATTTATTTTTAATTATTTTTTATAATATATATACTTGGTAATCTCCAGTGGCCCTTGGCAGTGAGGGAGGTATTACAGCGATGCCTCAACATTGAGGCATCGCTGCCCTACCATTAGAGCTGCTGTAAGCGATCATGATCACTTCCAAAGCTCTAATTACCCCAGGACGTATCAGGTACGTCCATGGTGCTTAAGGACCGTTTTTTGTCGGACGTACCTGTTATGTCAGCGGTCGGGAAGGGGTTAATATTTGACCCTGTAACTTTCCAAAAAAAACATAAACACCATGGCAGGTACTGTTCTACTCATGAGACATGACCGAAACAAATATATGAGTGTTTTAGAGCAGTAAACCATA